CCCGCCCCCGCGCTTACGGTTCAGCGGCTTACGCCTCACGTGATGAAAGCGGCGCCCCGCGGCCCGTCAGCTGCTAGCAGACAGTCTAGCAGACGACATTGGGGCTCGTATAGCTGCGCTCGCGCGGCTGGCCAGGGGCGGCAACACCGGTAACACGTCACCCTCCAGGAAGATTTGGCTGACGCCGACGCCCTTTCAGTGAGAAGGAAAGGGTGGCCACTGTACTTCGCCCGGCGCAGACCGAATGACAATCCAATGGAGTTCGTACTCGGCGCCTGTGCTTCTGTCGGTGCAGGGATCTTCAGCAACCCCCTCGATGTCCTCAAGACCAAAGCCCAGCTCCAGGGAGAGCTCAGGGCGAGGGGCCAGTATTCGGTGCATTACAAAAACATGTTTCATGCCGCTTACATGATAGCCAAAGAAGAGGGAATTCTGGCCTTGCAGGTAAGGTTAACCTAACCTAAAAGTGTTCAGGTCAGAGGCTCATGATGAAGCAGTATTTTTTCCGAAAATGTTTCAAAGAGAACATTTTAAATATTTGAAAGGCGTAGCACTTTTTGATATCTCTCTTCGGGTACCCATTTCTTCAACTGTCATACTGCATTAACTCTTTAAATTATTAATCTAATTTTTGTTTTAGAAAGGATTGTGTCCTGCCCTTCTGCATCAAGTCGCTTTAAACGGGACTAGATTAGGTCTTTTTCAATTAGCCCAGGACCATGGTCTAACAGCCAACGAAGATGGCTCATTATCTGCACCAAAGACTATGTTGATCAGTTCCTGCGCTGGCTCCATTGGTGCATTCCTTGGTAGTCCATTTTTTCTGGTAGGTTAATATTTACTTCATTTGCTGCCAACTTTTCTCATCTTATTAAAAATCCTTTTTAATCTAAGTTTTCAATGTTAGATAAAAACTCAAATACAGTCTCAAGCTCCTATAGCTGTATCAAAAAATGCAACTGTGGCTCTGGGAGTTCAACATGATCATAAAGGAATGATCAGTGGTTTCTCTACTATCCTCCGTAACAGAGGCTTTATGGGTTTTTTTGATGGAGCATCTGGAGCTATTTTGCGAGTTGCTGTTGGCTCATGTGCCCAGTTGTCAACTTTTAGTTACTGCAAGCAATTTATTGAAAATCATGAGGTTTGTAATTTTAATCGAAACTTATGGACCACTTCTCTCTTCTTGTTAGAGTTTGCTATACTTTTTTATTTTAATTTTTTTGTATAGTTTTTCAGTGATGATGCTGTACTGACTAAAGCTTTTGCTTCAAGCATGCTTGTCGGTGTAGTTACTGCATTACTCATGACACCGTTTGACACAGTATCAACTCGTCTCTTCAACCAATGTAAGCTACATACTTTATTTCTCATTCAAATTTATTTTTCCAAATTTTCAACCATCAACATTACTAACGTAACATTTTTACTTTTTAGCAAGAGATTCTACTGGTAAAGGTCTGTTATACAGTGGAATACCAGACTGCTTTGCCAAAACACTGAGGACTGAAGGTGTTCGTGGTCTGTATAAGGGACTTATTCCTGTGTATTCAAGAATCGCACCTCATTCCATGCTTACTCTAATGCTGTGGGAGAAACTGAAGTACCTGCATAATCAGCAATACCTGGAATCCACTCCGTAGTCGATATCCCTGCTGATTTCCAGTCAGAAAAGTTGAACTAATTTAGTATTCACTGCAAGCTCTAGCTAAAATTGTGATTAAATCCAAGCTTTTATTTTTCTTGTGTCATTATAGGCTTAGTTTGGATTGTATGGAATTTAATTTTGTTCTGTCAAAGAAATATTTTTGTTATTTGATAATCGGTGAAAGATATTCTCAAACGTTGAAGTTCCTGTCTGAAACTGTATAGTATGGTAATCTCAGGTAAAAGTGTGTTATTCTCATTTCTCAGAAAATAATGTAGCTTAGGTTGTAGATATGTAATTTTCTGCCATATACTGATTTTTGGCAACCTGTATCAGGCATTCAGACCAAAGTCAACCATCAGGTTACAGTCATAATTACTGACAAAATTTGTCCGCCCAACATTCCTTACAAAGTCAAGTTTGATATCCTATTTTCGGTCGTTGTTTCATCGCTGTGTTGTTATCTTCTGTTCTGGAAGACTTTTAATTGTTAACCTTGTTGTTAATTTTATTTGTTTTTATAAAAATCAACTTTTAAAGTATGGGCCTGATACAGTCTCCCAATATATTTTTTATTGATTGTGTGAAATTCTGTTAGGAATTCAGGGTAATAGTATTATGAAACTTCATCAAAGTGTTCAATGTATACTTTCGAGTCAGTGTACGAGATACTAAAGTGTACACCATGAAATTCGTCGTTGTTCTTTTTTGGTCCCTAATCCGTGTGCAAACACAAGCACAAACTATCTTAATTCTTTTCGAAAATTGGAGAAATCTAACGAATGTACAGACGACATGAAATCGTCTGCTGTTGGCTGCCATATTGGTTTTTTGGACAAGGATCGAGGTGGTCGTGCATGAGAGCGCAGAACAACAAAAACAAAACAGGCTAGCAAAGAAGGAAAGATTGCGGTGCCTAGCGCTTGGCCGCCGGTGTCAAAGAAATCTCTCTAACGCCGGCTGAAAGCTAGCTGACAGGAATTTCTACCTGTTTTCCTTCAAAAAGATCTTCTAGGAAAGGTAATACGGTTTCTGATCTAATCTAATTTAGAGTGTTTCTTTACTATGCTGTGTCTAGCAATGATGTCTTACTTAACCTCTGAAATGCTATTTATCAAAAAGAATGATGATAAATCGAATTGTGTAAAATTAAAATTTACTAATGTGGGTTCGTTAATTTTCAGAATGGGTGACCGTTACAATATTCACAGTCAGTTGGAACATCTGCAGTCAAAGTACATTGGAACTGGTCATGCAGATACAACAAAGTTCGAATGGCTTGTCAATCAACAGCGTGATTCCTGTACATCATACATGGGTCATTTTGATCTTCTAAATTTCTTTGCAATCAGCGAAAATGAGGCCAAAGCTCGTGTGAGATTCAATCTAATGGAAAGAATGTTGCAGCCATGTGGGCCTCCACCTGAGAAACCCGAAGATTAAATTAGTATATAATGCATTCCCTTTTCTTTTCATGTGTGATACGGTCAAATACACATTTTATCTGCCTTAATTTTATACCCTAACATGGTGAAATTGCTATTTTCCAAGACAGTATTTAAGTTGCAAATAGTTTTCTACCTCACGTTATCTTGAGAGTTCGGATTATAATTTTTGAAATATTGAAACCATGTCTTCTAATAAAATGTATGGAGTACAGAGGATGTGAAGGTGGACACCTCAATAAATAAAGTTCTTTGAGAACAATTATCACAACTGTGTTTGGATCCTTCTATATTTTTGAACATACAGTATTTAGTCCTGTAATTTTTAAAGAAATTTGAGATGCTTCCAAAAAATCAGTATCATTAGCTTGTGCATACGTTCAAACAACCAAGAAATGATGAACGGCAGGCATACATGTAGCTTAGGTGACAAACCCCACGATAGCCTTGATGCAAATTCAAGGCCCTGTTTTTATGGATAGCCCAACATATGGCAAAACGTCACGAGCGCGTTGAACCGAGTGATCGCCGCGCCCCGTTGCAACAAATGCGTAAACGTGCTAGGTAGCCCGCATGCACGAGTATCTTCTCTTACCATTGCACCTATGACTCCGAGCGAATAGGCAACCCGTCCGCACATCTGCATGCGGGATAGTATGCATTTGATCCAATGGGGCACACCCTGTATTGACGACTTCATGACTAAATTAGGTCAAAAACTAGTCAAAAAACAATAGTTTTGAAGTTAACATGACCTATTTGTGACGTTTTGATGGTTTCCTGTCAGGAGAGGAGTTCTTAACAACTAATTGAGTAGCCATCCAAGAAGTTCCAATATCTTAAAAAACAAAACTAAAGATCCACAAGAAATTTAATTCTGATTTCCTTGAAGCAAAACTCTGTGATTAAGATTAGCATTTAAGGCTTAAACTTTTATAGGAATAAAAACACATCAGAGACAACAGAAACAACAAAATAAATAGTTATTTGTACAAAAACAAACCAATAACAACTACTCTGAGAGAGTAGAAAAGTTAAGGTAGATTTACAACAGGGATACTGCGAGCATAGTTGAGGTGAGAGGAGTGGTTGTTCACCTCATCCAACCACGTCCCATGCTCTAATAGCGCTTGCAGTATTCTTGTTTTAAAACCACCTTAGTATAAATAAAATCAATAATGTTAGCACACATCATTAGGTCGTCGAAGACCAAAGACAATTTGTACATAAGGGATACAAAATGAAACCATGACCGCCATACTTGCAAATTTATAGGCCACACTCATGCCACCATTCAAAAATACTTCCTGGTGAAGACCAAATATAAAATCAGATTTTTATTGGTGTATCTTATAATTGAGCAAGTATGATGATACTTTTTACGGCAGAATATTGTTATGTTACCACCCACTCAAGCACGTAAGCCTCAAAGTGTTTTATCACACTGTGTCTATCATCCCTTAGCCTGGTTCCTGATTGTAATTCTAAAGAAAAGTCAGGTAACATGGTTAAAAGTGTGCTACATTAGCACTTTGTATTTGTTGAATATCTAGGGTACTTTTTAAAATGATGCCTATGATATTTTGACCAATGTACTAAGCTTAGAAAGAAATAAAATAACTTTGTTTAAAGAACACATGGTGCTCTTCAAACCAATGTGTAACAAAAGAATACAAGGGATCCAGTCAGATTGGACATCAAAATAAGGATGGAATGTAAAAATTGCTGCACACTACTGCTGTCCAACTGAGTTGTACCGACAGGATAATTATATAATGTTTCAAACTAAGCTTATCCTGATTTGGCATAAAAATTTCTATTATGAGCTACTTTAGAATGTCTGATGAAATATGGTCTCGTTATATTTTGTTGCTGCACAAATGGAAGCCACCCACTGAGGTCAGGACTATAAAATGCTTGACAGGCAGGATGATAATTACACTAGTATCTGTATTCATAATCAGTAACTAATTATGTAAGAAAATCTACAAGACATCTAAACTTGTGAGAATTTAAGTCTATGGGGTTATTGTATTTGGAGTTGTAAAGTAATGTAGCTCCTTTCTGCAAATAGAAAAAACAAAGAAAAAGGTAGTTAGATACAAGGATGGAAAAAAAATGGATGCACCTCTCAACGCAGGAAAACATACCTTATAATTTCAGGTAATCCAGAAGGGTCTATAGTATGTTCAAAAACTGTTTTGAGACAAAGTGTATACAATGATGGTACTGCAAAAAGAAAACAAAAAATGCCTCAAATTATGATTTTTATATGCCAAGAAATAGAATCTCAATTAAAATTATAAAACTCACATAAATCTAGCACATGAAGATCATTAAGGTCCATAAGTTTCGCGGAATCTACAATTCAAAATAGACAATACATTAAAATTAGAGCCTCAGCAAATATCCATAAATGAGACCAGTCTACGGCTTTTTGGGATGAGAGTAAGAATCAGGGCATCAGTTTAATGCCACAAAAATTTGATTTAACACTTTCCGTACGACGGGTGCGACCCGTGACCCGGTAAATGTTGCTTGCGTGTGACGGGGCCACATTGTCGACCCACCTAAAAGTGTCCTAAAGTGCCATAAATCTACCTTTCATAGGCCACTGAAGAAAATTAAGACCTCCTAAATTTAGTGAGGGCCGCCTGTGAGGAGGGACGGTTAAAAAATAAATTAATTACGTGTTATTTGACTTACCTTCCAAGGAAAATTCATCATCACTTTCCATATCATCCGGATTGCCATTATCATTCTGATTTTGCTCATCATGATCGTGGTGAAGAATAGGATTAGGACCAACATGAAAAATGTGGTCGCCAACCAAATTAACGTCATTGTCATTTTCTTCTTCCATATTTTCATTATGGTTGATATTATCCTGATTGGCGTCAAGATCAAATGGATTTTGCCCTGGCACAAACTGTACTACTTCTGAGTCATTACTGTGAACTTCACCTAAGACTTCCAGCCACGGACTAAATTATATTAAAGATGAAAAGAAAGTAAGATAACAATATTTAATAATGTATGGTAAAAATAAGCATTGAGTTGAAACAGCCTGATTCACCCCAGAAAAGTACCTTGTTCCACCAAATATGTACACCTTGTTGTTTATTGGGATACATGACTGTCTTCTTCTTCTCACAGGAGGTTTTCCATGAGGCTGAATTTGTTTCCATTCACAAGTTCTAGGATTAAAGCAATGTAAATCGTTAAAATGCTCTTCTGTAAGCCCATTATAGCCTCCAAAAATATAAAGCATTCCGTTGACTATAACTAAAAAGAAAAATAAACTCACATGACAATGGAGAAATTTTGGTAGAGCAATTGAGACAAAGAATTCACAAATCATGACCAAAGTCTGATTTAAACATGAACTTACATGATGAATGGCTCCTCCGGCCTTTAGGAATATCACCTGTTGTAACTGGTTTATGCCACCTATTTGACTCAACGTCAAAGTAAATAATATCGGAACAGTACTCTTCATTGTGAGATCCATAGGGTCCATTTAAATCTCCTCTTCCACCAAAGACATACATATAAGAACCTATAGCTGATGCTGAGTGAAAGTCTCTGAACTTGGCAACCTCGCCCTGAAAGAGAAACCAATAAATTCAAGTACTTGCTGATAGTTTGTGATATATTCTTGTGGCTAAGATAGTACGTACAGAGGTCATGACGTAATGCCACTTCATTTCAGCTATATCCAGGAAATAAACATCATTTGAAAATCTGTCTATATCTTCTTCAAAGCCTCCAAAAACATACATGCGATGATTTATTATACAAGCTGTATGGCCATCTCTAGCGACTGGAACCATTCCAGTTGCTCTTGGTTTACTCCATGTAAGAGTTACTGTAGAAAAAAAACATATGCCAGACATGAGATTTTTTTTTTTAATTGACATGTTTAAAGGCTATGAAATAAAATATCAAAAACATTAACCAAAAGACAAGCATCAATAAAAACAAAGTTAACTACCTGTGTCAAAAACAAAAATTTGGTTACAAGCTGATTCTTCATTTCGTCCACCCCAAACAAAAATTTTGTTACCATATGCAACAGCAGTGTGCCCATACCGCAGAAATGGTATGCACTTATCATCTTGTTGATATTCAGCATAAGATGGGATTGGCAGCCTAGTCCATCTTAAATTTCCTGTAATCAAAACGTTTTAAGACAAAATTGATATCTTGCTTCATTTCCAAGAAAGAAAAAGGACAAAGACGCAATACAAATATAGGAATGTGACAAACCTGTATTAAGCACATGCACATCAATGGGTCTTTTCTCATTATAATTTTCGCCTGTGTTGTATCCTCCAAAAGAATAAATGAGGTCCTCAACGGCAGCTGCTGCATGGTTAACACGTCGAGGTCCTCCTTCCAAGTGAATGGTCCAGTACATTTCTCTGTGAACAAATAAAAAATATGAACTCCCCATATCACATTCCAGTTCACCTACAAGCAGGGCAAATATCAGTCAAAAAATAATGTTTTAAATTTCTGAGTTTTCAAATGTACATCTATCATTATGGATTTATCAAAACAATAGAAGCACATAGTTATTTTTAATTAATATCAATAGTTTTAAACACCCTACACACAGTCAGTTGCAAAGGAAGGTGACATGTTAATAACAATCAATCTATGGTAAAAAAGAAAAACAACAGGTAAAATCCACAACCTTTTTTAAAAAATTAGGTAAAATTACGATAAATGTGATTCTATACTGACACAATTTCCCACGGTGTTGTTGAATAAACATCACTTCCTCCTACCCCGTAGGCAAACGAGTACAAATGAACAGGCTCAACACTACAATACAGGGAAAACCGGTCGCAAAGCGTCCAGGTTAGACGTGTGCACTTGACTTTTAATCTGAAGCGAATTAATCAAAATAGTGCTATGAGTCACAACAAGAAAAAACCCTACAATCCCGGAGGTTAATCAATCAACAAAAATAAATAAAACGCAAGAGATAAGACCGCTTCCAGCCTGACCACAATACGTCGGGAGGAGAGAAATTTGGCCACAATATACCTGCTAGATATTTGACATTCTCTACTCAAGAAAACATGTCACTTTTCTAAAACTGCAAGTACAACCACTTACAACGAAATGTGAGCTGAAAAATACAAAGTTTTCGACAATTACTCCTTGATGTCCACCATGGCTTTCATGATCAAAGCAAAGCAAAATATATCGAGCACATCGAAGGTATCGAAGTAACTTGCAGAAACAACGAGAGTGTTATTTGCAGTTGGTCAAAAAACATGGCGGTGAAGTGTTGGTGGTAGAGGAGGGTTGTGAAGTTTAATGAAGCATCTAAAAACAGAACTACCTCATTCAGAATTTTAACTCGTTACGCTACAGGTTTCACCTTATTCATGTATATTTCTAGTCATCAGAAGTCCTTCTCCCTACTCCTAATTTCAAATGTAGGTGAGGTCTACTATATTAGTGTCAACATACACGTCGAAGCTTTCTGCTTCCATTCAAAAATAAATACAGTATCCCATTGGAAACTCACCAAACATTATACATCTCCGTGCTCTTGCAATGCGAATTCTATCAAATGGAGAGTAGTTGTTTGCTTTATACAAGAAATATGTGGTTTGTCTAACTAACCTAGGCCAATTTCTGTGTGCAATTTTTATTTCTTTTTAAATGGTCAAATTTCAATGAGGCACCAAGTTTTCCTGAATTGGAGGTTGAGGAAATTTTCAATGACAAGTGTGAAGTTTACCTTTTGTTCCTTGCCTCTAACTGCTACAGTTTATAGTTCCATTGAGTGTAATCCTAAGTGTATCATAATAATTAGTAACATTTGGTTCTACATTGTTTCGATGTATTTTGGTAGTTTTAACAGATATCTAATGCTATCTTTTTCCATTCCAGGCAACATCAAAATAATGCATATTATCTACCCTCATTTTGAAGAGATGCAACTTGATTCTGTGAAATGAGTGTAAAAATATTAACTGATGCTTGGTGATTTCATATTTCAAAAATAACAGTAGTATCTGGAACAGAAGTGTTAATGTTTCCCAGCAAGCACTTTTTGTATCTTTTTAACTATCAAACCTCAGAGTAATAATTATATTTCCCTCAGAAATTTTAAAGAAATCTGTTAAAGTGGAGGAATTTGGGGTAAAGGAAGACAATCAGCCCAATGTGGCGGAAGCTGGCACTTCTATCATTGAGGAAGTGCCGAGAATTGCACCTGAGGCCTCACCACAAAGCTCTAAGCAGCGACAACGTTCTTCTCGTGAAACAAGTGCCTCCAGGCATTTGAGGCGTAGACAAAGTAATCGCTTGACACTCCTTTCAATTGAAGAACGTCAAGATGAATCCTGTGCACTGGAAAGGGTTCATCTGGCAGCTCACCTTCAGTGGGACATCCATGATCCAGTCAGCAACCGGGACTGGATCGCACTGTACATCCTTGGTAAGTTATTGCTTTTTCAATGAACCCAATTGGGTTGAATCCTGGGCATGATAAGCTGCTAGACCATAGGAGTCTTGATGGCTTGTGCAAGTTTTGACAGCACTGCATCCAGGCATCTATGCATTGCGAGCAGCGCTCCATTGAACTGACATCAAAATGACATTTAAAAGTGTGATTTTAACACGTTCCTTGCGTCTCATGTTTGGTTCCTATGATAGCATGGGGTGACCACTATGTGGTCACGCCGCAAGGAACGTGTTAATGCAAAAACGTCCAAATTTTGATGACATTTTGATGAGTTTACACGAAAGTGATTTAATATTGATTGACCACTGCTGGCTAGTAAATATAGTAAATAGTAACCATCCAAACAAAAATATGATTGTGGATTCGTTCATATTTCCGTATCTGAATCCATGTCCAAGAAAGTCCCGTCCACTCGCCCAACACGGCTGGCTCTCCCTCACGGGTGCCTAGTGGGTAGGCAGAACGCCTTGCTCTGCTGCCCGCTGCCCTCTTCGCTATACCACCGTCCAAAAAGTTCAGTGTTCGAGTTTCTTCCGCCCCCCCCCCCTACCCCGGCCGTTTTCTTTTCCTTTTGCTCCCAGCTCATTATTCCATTCCCGTCCTGGTCTGGTCTTGGTATACAGTAGTGCTACTATTTTTCCCACGACTGGTATGGAGGATTGTGCAGACTTCGCTCCAAACTCCATGCAAGTCAGCGGACCTCCCCGCGACCTTGACTTGGCGTGTTGTGTTGTTGTTGCGCCCGGGAGCCTCCCCCCCCCCTCTCCTCCCCTGCTCACCACAACCACTCTCTCTCTCCTGCCGGATTTGAGTAGCTTTGATTTGTGCGGCCGCGTCTATCCATGCAAGTCGATCACGTCCGCCCCTTTAAAAATGAATCGAGTGCGTTGCGAGTGCGCTGCGAGGGCGAGGTAAGGGCGAGGCGAGAGCGTGGCGAGTGCGCGGACGAGTGCA